CTGACCCGCATTTAAGAAAGCAAGTATGTAAGTAAGGAAGCAAGCAAATAAACAAGTAAATAAGTAAGCAATAAATATTACCTAAGTATGCAAGTTGGTATGTATGTAAGTAAATAAATAAATAAACTTATAAATAAGTACATAAGTAAAGAAGTAAGATAGTTCTGGGACCTTAACATCACATTGATCATCAAGACAGTTGTTATTGGCCCATCAACATTATCTTAAGTTAAGCTGAGATAAACCAGTCAAATACTGTGAATTATTTTGGATCAGTTAAAATTTTTATGTGCCCAAAAAGGGCTTAATATAATTTCCACAACTAACAAAGAGAAGCTTCTATTATGGAAATCGAATTAGCACTAAAAGTTTGAAAGCGACCAAAAAATACATTATCCAGTTCTTGCACAAAATCCAATAAATTTTGCCCACTAAACTGCCTAAACCAATATATATAATTAATATATATATATATATATATATATATATATATTATATATATAATATATATATATATATATATATATATATATATTATAATATTATATATATATATATATATATATATATAATTTTATGAAAAACCATCTGAAAAATAGATAAATATAAGCTATTATATATCACAATATCATAGGAATATGAATAAAGCATCAAAATATATAATTAATATTTGTCATTACCTACATATCAATCCAAAGTATAAAACTGAGTCCGACTAATTGATATCTATTCAATATACCACAAATAATCTACCAAGAAAATTTTAAAAATTATTGTATGTATTTAATTCTTCCAAATTTTTTAAAAATTTGAAGTAGTTTATATAATCTAAGAAATTAACAATACATCAGTAAAATTTTTATGCAAGATTCACGAATTTATTACTGACATGGACATGCATATACCTTTTTAAAAAAAACTTTATGATGGAAAACCTTACAGAATAAATGGCATTGGAACATTGACCTGTTCATGATATTCATAATGGATAATAATGTGATACTAATTCCATGTTATATATATATATGTAATAAATGTGAACATGAATTCATATATAATAATGGTATAAATAATATAATATATTCCCATATAATTCATGTATCAAAATATAAACATATCATATATACATCAATATATAAAATGTGAACATGATTCATATATACAAATAGTAAATATATATAAATATATATTATATATACATAATATAAAATTATACTATATTCCCATATATATATCAATTAAACATATATATATATATATTATATATATAAATAGTATAATAATAAATATATATATAATATATAATATATTTAATATATAATATATATATATTATATATATATATATGTCGTAAAATTCATCAGCCATTGAAGATTTATGTCATTCAGAATTTTTTTTTAAAGAATTTAAGTAGCGTTTTAAATCTATACTAAATCTAAACAATACATCAGTATTAATATTCTGAAGCCGATGTCACCAGGAATTTATTAATGATAGAAAATCAATATTACCGTTTATTTAAAAAAATACTTTATGAGGACATTTGGAGCGCGAGAACAATGTGAACCATGACTGCCATGATATTCATCAATGGTACAACAATGTGAACCATGATTCCCATGATATACATCAATGGTACAACAATGTGAACCATGATTCCCATGATATACATCATATGGTACAACAATTGAACCATGATTCCCATGATATATAATCAATGTAAACAATGTGAACCATGATCCCATTATAATATAATCAATGGTACAACATGTGAACCATGAATTCCCATGATAATACATCATGGTTACAACAATGTGAACCCATGATTCCATCGATATACTCAAGGTTACAACAATGTGAAAACATATTCCTTATTAATACATGAATGGTACAACAATGTGAACCATGATTCCCATGATATACATCAATGGTACAACAATGTGAACCATGATTTCCATGATATACATCAATGGTACAACAATGTGAACCATGATTCCCATGATATACATCAATGGTACAACAATGTGAACCATGATTCCCATGATATACATCAATGGTACAACAATGTGAACCATGATTGTCATGATATACATCAATGTTACAACAATGTGAACCATGATTCCCATGATATACATCAATGGTACAACAATGTGAACCATGATTCCCATGATATACATCAATGGTACAACAATGTGAACCATGATTTCCATGATATACGTCAATGGTACAACAATGTGAACCATGATTCCCATGATATACATCAATGGTACAACAATGTGAACCATGATTCCCATGATATACATCAATGGTACAACAATGTGAACCATGATTGTCATGATATTCATCAATGTTACAACAATGTGAACCATGATTGCCATAATATACATCAATGTTGAAAATAAAAAAGTCTTCTGAAGAGTTGTTGTTCAGTTAACATACGGATTTAAATGATTATAAGTCCTTTAGTTAAATTCAGAATACTTAAAAATTTGCCAAAATTCAAACTAAGTTTAGTGGGTACTCGGGTGTCCTTAAAATGCAGCTTCCATTAAATAGTGAAGTCGCTTAGAAGAGGTAGGATCAAAATTGATTTAGTTTAGCAGAAATAAAAATTTCAAACTTACACCAACAAATTCCACTTTCACTCTGCAGTGTTATTTAAGCAGAAAACTCATTTTAAAAAGTTTGAAACTAATCAGCAGAGCCCTTTAAAGGATATCGAACCCATTTCAGGTAACCTTCAATGGGTTCTACAATTTTGTTCTATAGGAGACCTGCATTAGTTGATCGTTGGATAAATCTTGCTAATACTTTCACATTGGATCAGCGAGGTAAACTTTACAGCTGCTCAGAAGAGACCTTCTCGTCTTACGAATGAATTATGAAACGAAAAAATGGGGGAAGGAAAAAACCAGGCAGCTTCTTCGACCTTCTTCTTGAATCCATAATTATATTTCGTCAGATGGGTTTGTAAGTAATTTTTCCAAAGCTTCTACACTTCTTTTCATGATCTATAAATAAAGTATTTGAAAGTGTATCCTAAAAGGCTAAAGTCACTCGGATATAATAAAAATGAAAGTCATTTATCCACCATCAGGGTGAATAAAGTTGCCAGGACACTTTTTATCCTGGATGGCAACTAAATATACTACCATAATTTGTTATCTCCAGAAAGGATGGATGAGGTGACATAACAGTACAAGTAGTACAATGAGACATGTACACATTATTATATTTAAAAAGTGGCTTCAGTCTTGTACTACAGAGTCAGCTAGAATTAGTAGTATAGATAATACAAGGAGGCAGATGAACAAATGGGGTATAAATTTTTAATGGAACAATAACGATGCTTTAGTAGGTTCATACCTAGATGGGCAGTACTTAATATGGGGAGATGCTTGGTGTTCCGTAGTAGGCATCTTTGTGAACCGTTCCAGACAAGAAGGTATTGTGACGTGAATTGTTCCAGACTAGGAGGTATTGTGGCGTGATTTGTTCTAGACTAGGAGGTACTGCGACATGAATTGTTCCAGACTAGGAAGTATTGTGACGTGAATTGTTCTAGACTAGGAGGTAATGTGGCGTGAATTGCTCCAGACGAGAAGGTACTGCGACATGAATTGTTCCAGACTAGGGAGTATTGTGACGTGAATTGTTCTAAACTAGGAGGTAGTGTGACAAGAATTGTTCCAGAATAGAAGGTACTGCGACATGAATTGTTCCAGACTAGGGAGTATTGTGACGTGAATTGTTCTAGACTAGGAGGTAGTGTGAAATGAATTGTTCCACATTAGGAAGTACTATGACGTGAATTGTTCCAGTCTAGAAAGTATTGTGACATGAACTGTTCTAGACTAGGATATAGTGTGAAGTGAATTGTTCCAGACTAGGAGGCATTGTAACGTGTATTGTTCCAGACTATGAAATACTGTGACGTGAATTGTTCTAGACTAGGAGATACTGTGACGTGAATTGTTCTAGACTAGGAGATAGTGTGAAGTGAATTGTTCCAGACTAGGAGGCATTGTAACGTGTATTGTTCCAGACTATGAAATACTGTGACGTGAATTGTTCTAGACTAGGAGATACTGTGACGTGAATTGTTCCAGACTAGAAAGTATTGTGACGTGAATTGTTCTAGACTAGGAAGTACTGTGACGTGAACTGCTCCAGACTAGGAGGTATTGTTACGTGAATCGTTCCAGACTAGGAGGTATTGTGACGTGAATTGTTCCAGACTAGGAAGTATTGTGACGTGAATTGCTCCAGACTAGGAGGTATTGTGGCGTGAATTGCTCCAGACTAGGAGGTATTGTGACGTGAATTGCTCCAGACTAGGAGGTATTGTGGCGTGAATCCTTCGTGATGGTAAAGGTTTATAATTGATCGAGAGTCTACAACGGCGTTACCAAACTATCGTTGCTGTTTACAGTTTCCCTTGATGTAAAGACATGATCACTGGGTTAATTTTTCCCATATCAATATACATCCAGTTACTCTGTATATGTTTTAAAGTATAATTTTATGGCGCTATAATACGTCATTTATACTCTGCTCTTCTCCTTTCTCACCATAAAATCCTATGATGGCTCAAAGATTCTTTAAGAATTTTCTTTTTAGACAATATTGGTCTGTGTTTTTGTATTAATTGATTACGTTTGATTAGAAGAGATATATATTTCTGTGCTAGTGTCATGCTAGAAGTTAATAATAGGTGGTCCCAGTCTACCATAACCTAATCTACTGTAAATACATCAGACCGTTATAAATACCATTAAACATATATTTACAAAATTTACAAGCCTGAAAATTCATGATATTATATTCTTATAATCCAAAAATCCATAAGGCCGGCTGGAATGTTCCTCCATTCTTACGTTTTAAAATCAATAATTATGTTATGAAAATCTGGAGAGGTCGGATGATGAGCAACATTTGGGCTTGGGTTTCCAGCCTAGTGCAGACGAGAAGAATGATAGTAGGTTTCTCGTCATCCACAGAGTCCGGGGCGTGGGTGGGCGTCGAGAACAACACCATGGTGAACGTGAAGGCCCAGCTCGGCTACACTGCCTTCCTTCCTTGCTCCGTCCGCATGATTGGTGACAAACAGGTAAGAATACTCCCACCAACTTACTTATATATAATGTATAACTTTATGCGCGCGCGCGTGTGTGTGTGTGTGTGTGTGTGTGTGTGTGTGTGTGTGTGTGTGTGTTGCAACAATCACAAACAAGAGATCAATAATGCACAACAACCAATGGAGGGAGAAAGAGTATGATGTCCGGCTAGGCCTTTCGCACTGCAATTTCAAACGCTTCTTCAGAAGCAAATGCAATGAGAAGTGACTGCAGGAAATCTCAGGGAGGTGTGTCCAGAGACACAGTTTAGCCAGAAGAAGACGGAAACCAGGAGCTAGAGACTCCAGCCAGCCACGATCTCGAAGTGCCAAACGTGAAGACATATTTTAAGAAAGAATGAAAAAAATGTTTTAGGGGGATGTTTAGGAGTTAGTAATAGTGAGGTGAATGTTGTATTATGTACTGCCTTGGCTAGCTCATCAACTATACCATTGTGTGTGATGTAGCGGTGTGCAGGTGCCCACTGCAGTAATATGTCGTGTCCGTTGGAATGGTGTAGGATGGTGAGAAAGGAATATACAAGTTCCTTGTAACTTTTGGAGTGACGTGTATGACCCTGGATAGCAGTTTGAAGTCGTTGCTAATTGTATAACTGCCAACAGGCAGTGTGTTAAATAATACTAGAAGTCCCGTAGAATTCAGCTATAAAGTCAGGAAAGTCTTGTAGTAGTTTCTACCTATTTTGAGACGGAAGCGAGGAATCCACAATGCAGATATCACATAGGGTGCATTATCAATGAGGATTAATAATCCGTCTATATATTTCTGTGGAATCTGCATGAAGACTGTGCATTGCAGATGTATAAACACCTTGCTGCATTTGATGATGTGGATGCATCCTTGTCAAGGTGAGCTAGGTTAGGTAAGATTCCTGACGCGGGTTGTAGTCATTTGATGAGCCGCTCCTGCAGATTTTGATCGTTTAACCAAAGCTTTTCGTAGTTTTATAAGGAACTACGAAAAGCCGAACAGTCTTGAAAGATGTGTTGATAGGAGAGTTTATGCAGCATTCCTTTTTAGAATGAGTTGTGGATGTACGATCAAGTGGGTTCATTTGAAGAGATGACAGGAGTCATTTCGGAGCTATATGGCTGCGTCTGATGTGCAGAAACGCAGGGAAGGAGGCAAACGATGAATGAGACACTTGTGCAACATTTGGAATGAGACACTTGTGCAACATTTGGAATGAGACACTTGTGCAACATTTGTAAATCTTTATTGTGGAAACATTTCGCTAGTCAGTATAATACGGAGAGGAACGGTGGTAGAGGAGGAGGAGTTTGAGGTAATCAGTCCCTCAGCCTGGAGTCGATGTGTTCATTCCATCAATTGTCGGTTTTCTGAAGAGGTGTGTTGTGGGCCCACCATTGCAGCGATATGACCAGTATCCAGTTTCTGGATGGTGCTCTTGATGCGTACGCTTACCAACAGTAACATGTAGTGGATATAGATTCAAATTAGTATAACACAATCCTTTATTAACAATGTTTCGCACACACAGTGAGCTTTATCGAGTCACAAGTTTGTGACTTGATAAAACCCACGTACGTACCAGTTAGAATTCAGAGGCTGGTGAGTCTCGCCTGGCTGGTATGATGGAAGTGTGTGATGTGGTCTTTCCAGGTTCTGAGGGGCGAATCAAGATACATTCCTTGGTATGTGTATATTATTTTATGTTTGATGGGAATGTTTACAACTGGTGGGCAGTTCTTGTTATAGTCGTTTTTTTATGGTGAAGGAATTAATAAAGAGGTTCAATCTACAGTGAGTTGCAGGTCCCATTGGTAATTCCAATGGGACCTTCGTTTTTTCCAGCATGGCTTGCTTCTGCAGTGTTTTAAAAATTGAGGTTGGAGAGTTGAAGGAGGAGGAGGTCTTGCTTCTCCAGGAGGAGATTAAGAGGCTGAAGGTCCACCTCAATGGGTCTGGGAGAGAGTGTGAGGTGGCTGGAGTTGTGGGGAATGAGGCTTCTAGCAGTGAGGTGCAGTCTGTCTCTCGCTGTGAGGAGGCTGTAGTTGGGGAGGTAGCAACGGCTACCAGCAGTGAGGTGCAGTCCAGCACCTGCTACAAGTGGCGAGTGGTTCACAGTAATGGGAGGCGCATCAGAGTAAGGAAAGTTAAGAGTGAAGATCTGAAGGTAGGAAATCGCTTCTCTGTTCTTCAGGATGAATGTACTTCAGTGGCCAGTGAAGGTAAGGGTACTACTGCCCCTGCTAATGGGAGGTAAGCGCATTCTTGTGGTTGGTGACTCTCAGGTAAGATATATTGACCGTGCTTTTTGTAATAGGAATAAGAAGATGAGAGATAGAGTGTGCTTCCCTGGAGCTGGTGTTGGGGACATTGTCAACAGGCTGGATAATATCATGTCAGGTAATGGGAACAAGCCCATTATCTGTCTCAGTGCTGGTGGAAATGATATTGGGAAGGGTAGGAGAGAAGAGCTGCTAGATAAGTACAGGTCAGCTATAGATTTCATTAAGTCTAAGGGAGGGATCCCAATCATATGTAGCATCTTGCCTAGAAGGGGAGTAGGAAATGAATGGTTGTCTAGGGCAATTGGTGTAAATTGCTGGCTAGACAAATACTGCAAGGAACTTGCAATCCCATTCATTGACAACTGGAACAACTTTTATGGCAAACATGATATGAATGCAAGGGATGGGGTACATCTCTCTGGGGCTGGGGTGGTAGCACTTGCAGACTCGATTGAGAAGGCCATTGGTGAAATGCCTATGATTTTAAACTGATGGAAGATAGAGGTATGGGTGTGTGTGGGAAACAAGCAGGTTGCAACACTTGGGTTGGAAACAGTAAATGTATAAAAGGCATTCAGCATGAAGTTATAAATAAAGACAATAGATCAGGTCAGCAAAGGGGGACAGCAGAGGGCAGCAAGGGACTAGCTCCCTTAAGGTTTACTATAGTAATAGCAGGAGTGTAAGAAATAAGATAGATGAGCTAAGATTAATTGCAAGTGCAGGAAACATAGATATTATTGCTATAACAGAGACCTGGCTCAATCTGAAAGATAGAGAGATGCCCTCTGAATGTCACATACAAGGCTATAAATTATTCCACACTGACAGGGTCAACAGGAAAGGTGGTGGAGTAGCGATGTATGTCAGAGACAATTTAAATTGTTGTGTTAGACAAGATATTAAATTAGAAGCGTCAGCCACTGAATCTGTTTGGTTACAGCTTCTCGAGGGCCGAGAAAAACTAATTTTGGGTGTGATTTACAGGGCCCCAAATCTTGATAGGGAGTGCAGTAAACTTCTATGGGACGAAATTCGTAAGGCATCTACATACGAAAATGTTGTGCTAATGGGAGATTTCAACTATAGACAGATTGACTGGAGCAATTTGACAGGAAATTTAGAGTCAGGTGACTTTCTTGATACGATCCAGGATTGTTTATTAGAACAGTTTGTGACAGAGCCAACTAGGGGAAATGACCTCCTTGACTTGGTTCTTGCCAGTAGGGAAACACTAATTAATAATCTTGAGGTTAATGATGAGCTTGGGGAAAGTGATCACAAATCATCAGTTTTAATATATCATGGATTCCCTAATAATGGCAATCAGTCTCCGTCCCTGACTTTCGCTTGGCTGATTTCATAGGACTGAAAAATTACTTAGGTGGGCTGAACTTGAATGACCTGACCTAAGGGTTCAGGTAGGTGGTTGATGGGTTGCCGATATGATGCTTTCCAGGGGCATAGTTCTAGCTGCTCAGTCAAATTATGTTCCAAATAGGGAATCAGATCAAACAAAAAATGATCCTAAATGGATGAACAATAGATTAAAATATCTGATTGGTCAAAAGAGAGGCATATATAGGCAAATCAAAAGAGGAGAGGGCATTAAGAAATCGATATATTCAGTTAAAGAGAGAAATAAAAAAGGGAATTAGAAAAGCAAAAAGAGATTATGAGGTTAAAGTTGCAAGAGATCGAAGGACTAACCCAAAAGGATTCTTTCAGGTATACAGAAGAAGATCAGGGACAAGATAGGCCCACTCAAAAGTTCCTCGGGTCAGCTCACTGACAGTGATAAGGAAATGTGTAGAATTTTTAACACATACTGCCTCTCAGTTTTTACACAGGAGGATACCAGCGATATTCCAGTAATGATAAATTATGTGGAACAGGACGATATAAACTGTGCACGATTAGGGTCACAAGTGACATGGTCCTTAGGCAAATAGATAATTAAAACCTAACAAATCCCCAGGCCCTGATGAACTGTATGCAAGGGTTCTAAAGGAATGTAAAGAGGAGCTTAGCACACCTTTGGCTAATCTTTTCAACATATCACTACAAACTGGCATGGTGCCAGATAAGTGGAAAATGGCAAATGTGATACCTATTTTCAAAGCAGGTGACAGGTCCTTAGCTTCGAACTATAGACCAATAAGCCTAACCTCCATAGTGGGAAAATTTATGGAATCAATAATTGCCGAGGCAGTTCGTAGCCACCTTGAACAGCATAAATTAATCAACGAATCTCAGCATGGTTTTACAAAGGGGCGTTCCTGCCTTACGAATTTATTAACTTTTTCACTAAGGTATTGAGGAGGTAGATCATGGTAATGAATATGATATTGTGTATATGGACTTCAGTAAGGCTTTTGACAGGGTCCCACATCAGAGACTATTGAGGAAAATTAAGGCACATGGAATAGGAGGAGAAATTTTTTTCCTGGATAGAGGCATGGTTGACAAATAGACAGCAGAGAGTTTGCATAAATGGGGAGAAATCAGAGTGGGGAAGCGTCACGAGCGGTGTTCCACAGGGTCAGTGTTGGGCCCCCTGCTGTTCACAATCTACATAAACGACATAGATGAGGGCATAAAGAGCGACATCGGCAAGTTTGCCGATTGACACCAAAATAGGCCGTCGAATTCATTCTGACGAGGACATTCGAGCACTCCAGGAAGATTGAATAGACTGATGCAGTGGTCGGAGAAGT